AAGTAAAGAATTATTCCTAATCTCAATCTTATATGGCATTCCCCTTTATTTTAAGATTGCGCCCTCCTCATCCTCTAATCTCCCCAACCACACGCAGCCTTTGAGGGAAACATCCTTCCTTTATCTTGTGTGTTGTTCCCTAGATGAATTTTGTATCATAGAATCATACAGTACAGACGAGACCATTTGGCCCATTGGGTTTGTACAGTCAAATCTGTATTAAATCTACTCAGGCCCATCTTTGCAGCGCTAGCCTTGAATGTTATGACGTTTCAAGATGTCATCCAATTACTTTTTAAAGGTTGTGAGGTTGCTCACCCCTAATACCCTCCCAATGCATTCGAGATTCCTACCACCTTCTGGACAAAAAGATATTTCCTCAGTTCCCCTCTAAATCTCCATTTTGCCTATATCTTAAGGTGTTCCCCCTTGTTATTGACAGTTTAACTCAGGGGAACAGCTACTTCCTATCCACCCTGTGCATGCCTCTCATAATCTATATAGACCTCAATCAATTCCTTTTTCAACCTCTATTGCTCCAGAGAAAACAACCTGAGCTTATCAAATAATAGCTTCATACCTAAAGTGCTCCATCTGAGGCCACATCCTGGTGAATGTCCTCTGCACCATTTCAAGTGCAATCATATCCTTCCTATAGTGCAGTGACCAGAACTGCACACAGTACTCTAGCTGTGGCCTAACTCACGTCTTGCACAGTTACAGCATGACCTCCCTGCTTTTATAATCTATGCCTTGACTGACAAAGACAAGTGTCCTATATGCCTTCTTAACTATCCTATTAATCTGCCCTTCCACTTTCAGGGATTTGTGGACACACATCCCAAGACCCCTCTGTGCCTCTGAGCTTCCTAATATCCTACCATTTGTTGAGTACTCCCTTGTCTTGTTACTTCTTCCAAAGTGCATCACCTTAGACACATTTACCAGGGTTAAATTTTATCTGCCACTGACCTGTCCATGTGACCAATCAGTTTATATTCTCCTGTTACTTAGGACTTCCTCATTCCTCACTGTCAACCACCCAGACAATCATTTCATCTGTAAACATACTTATTACCCCCACCCTCCCACCACCATCACCACCAATTTTCTCATAGTTTATACATAGCAAGAACGGTCAGGCACCCAGCACAGATCCCCATTGTACGCCAGTGGACACAGGTCTCCAGTCACACAACCTTTTACCACCAACATCTCTCCTATCAAGAAGCCAATTTTGAATTCACTTGCCAATTTCCTTTGATTCAGTGTGCTTTTAACCTTCTTTGTCAGTCTTCCATTTTGGATATTGTCAAATGTTTTGCTGAAATCCATATAGATTAGATCAACTGCCCTACCCTCATCTACAAGCTTGGCCACTTCCTCCCAAGATACAACCAGATTTGTTAGGCATGGCCTCACTGACAAAGTCATGCTGACTATCCCTGATTAAACTTTACCTCTCTAAATGGAGATTAATTCGCTCCTGCAGAATGTTCTCTAATAGTTTCCGTACAACTGCTGAGTAATTCATTGGTGTGTAAATCCTTGATTTATTTATATCATCCTTCTTGAAAAGTGGAACCTTTAAAAGTAATTCTCTGGTAAATCCCCTCTGGCCAGAGAGGAATTAAAAATTTGGGTAAGGGCACTGGTGATTTCCTCCTTTTGTCTCCCGTAGCAGCCTGGGATTCAGTTTACCTGGACCTGGGTATTCATCCACTTGTAAGCCCATGAAAACCTTCAATACCTGCTCACTCGCTGTGTCAAACTGCTCAAGAACCTCCCAGCCCAACTTCACGATCTCTGTACTTACAACCTCCTCCTCCAAAGTGAAGACAGATGTGAAGTAATTATTTAACACCAGTCCTGTAGATCCACGCATAGATTTCCCTCTTGGTCGCTAATGGGCCCATTTTGTTCTCTGGTTACTCTCTCCCCCTTGCTACACATGTAGGATATTTTAGGATTCTCCCTAATGTTGCCTGCTAGTGTTCCTCATGCCCCATCTTTGCTCTCCTAATTGCTTTCTTAAGAATCCCCCTGCACATTCTGTATTCCACTGGGGTCTCTGTTTATTTCCGCTTGCTGTACATGTTACGTGCCTTTCATTTTCTTTTTATCCAGTTCTGAATATTCATAGACATCCAGGGTTCCCTGGGCTTGTTGCTCCTACATTTTACTCTAAAGGAAACATGTTGGGCCTGTACTTTCTCCAGTTCCTTTTGAATGCCTTCCACTACTCTGCTGTGATTTTACCCAAAAGTAGCTGCACCCAGTCTACTTTGAACAAATCATACCTTATTTTAATAAATTCTGCCTTTGTCCAATCCTAAGCCCTTTCTTTGCAGACCACCTTTTTCTTTTTCCATGCCAAACTTAAAACGTATGATGCTGTGGTCACTATCACCAAAATGCTCCTCCACTGTCAGTTTGAACGCCTGTCTGGCTTAGTTTCCCAGAATTTAGTCCAGCGCTCTCCACTGTGCATTGTAGGACCATCTTCATGTTGATGTTAAATACTGTCCTGAATAGAAATGCATGAAATTAGTTCCCGTAACCAGTGAATTTGATAAGGTACTACTTGGTAGGTTGTAGAGTAAGGTTAAATCACATGGGATTCAGGGAGAGCTAACCAATTGGATACAAAATTGCCTTAACGATAGAAGACGAAGTGGTGCTAGAGGGTTGTTTTCCAGGCTGGAGGCCTGTAATCAGCAATGTGCCACAGGGATTGGTGCTGGGTCCACTGTTATTTGTCATTCATATAAATTATTTTGATGAGAATTTAGGAGGTATGGTTAGTAAGTTTGTGAATGACACCAAAATTGGTGATATGGTGGATAGTGAAGAAGGTTATCTGGGAATGCAGCGAGATCTTGATCAACTGGGCCAGTTGACTGCAGAATGGCAGCTGGAGTTTAATTTAGATAAATGCAAGGTGTTGCATTTTGGTTGTTTAAACCAGTGCAGGACTTGCACAGTCAATGGTAGGGCCCTGGGGAGTGTTGTAGAACAAAGAGATCTACAGGTATAGGTTCACAGCTTCTTGAAAGCGGAGTCAAAGGTAGACAGGGTGGTGAAGAAAGCTTTCGGCATGCATGCTTTTATTGGTCAAAGCAATGAGTCTAGGTGTTGGGATGTCTTGTTGCTGCTGTACAGCAGCAATGGCAAGGCCATATTTGGAGTGCTGTGCACAGTTCAGGTCAACCTACTATAGAAAGGATATTATTAAACTAGAAACAGAGCAGAAAAGATTTACAAGGATGCTATCTGGGCTGGAAGGTTTGAGTTATAAGGAGAGGCTGGATAGGCTGGGGCATTTTTCCCTCCGAGTGCAGGAAGCTGAGAGGTGACCTAATAGAGATTTACAAAATCATGGGAGGCATAGATAAGGTAGATAGCCAACAGCTTCTCCCCATGTTAGGGCAGTCTAAAATTAGAGGGCATAGGTTTAAGTTAAGAGGGGAAGAGATATAGAAGGCTGCACAGGGGGAATTTTTTTCACACGGAGGGTGGCAAGTGTCTGGAACAGGCTGCCAGAGGTAATGGTTTAAAGTGAATACAATTTTGTCACTTAACAAACATTTAGACTGGTACATGGATCGGATGGGTATGGAGGGATATGGACCAAATGGGACTAGGTTAATTGTGAAAACTAGGTGGCATGGGCAAGTTGGACTGAAGGGCCTGTTGCCATGCTGTAATCCTCTGACTCTATGCCTCTAATCACCTACTGCTATCTCACCTGCTTTTTTCTTCCTCTCCTCCTGTCCAGTCAGGCTGCTTGTGCCAGAAGCTTGTCTCTTTCTGCACTTTGTTGAGGTATCACAGCCCTCACTTGTTTCCAAAATACAAATCAATTTGTGAGCAAGACCACAGTGGAGTGATACACTACCTGCCTGATTCTCTTGGACTGCCTGGTGGTCACCCATTTTTTTCCCCCTAGTTCCTTTTGTCTGCAGTATGACCACCTCTCTAAATGACCTATCCACATAACTCTCAGCCTTATGGATGTGTCGCAGTGTCTCTAGCCATCGCTCGAGCTCCAAAACATGTAGCTTAAATTTTGTCAGTTGGGACCACTTCCCACACACATCATCTTGAACTCTGATAAGGTCCATGAATTTGCACATACGACAGGTCACACGTACCTGTCAACTTGCGTTCCCTGTACTATCTTAAACCTGAACTTGCATTGCTAACTTTTCTAGATACTTAATCTTGAAGATACCTTAACTGGACTAAGCTATATATTCAGCAGACCATACTCATCCAATCAGCTGCTTCTTTTTGCACCACTTTTTGGAAGTTGTTGTCACCTCTGAGGTCTGCCTCTAGATTCAGTGAAGGTTTACACTGCTGCACACCACTCATGCTGCTTCTCAAACTGAATTTGATTGGGGCTTTGCCGTTCAGACTTCTAACAGGAAACGCTGAATCTGTTTGCCCCCAGGGTTTGCTCTGCTGGCTGTTTGAGATCACCTCTCATTCTTCTAAACTCCAGATAATATATACCAAGTCTATTTATTCTTTCCTCTTAGAACATCCATTCATCCCAGGAATTAATTTTGTGAACCTACATTGTATTCCCCATCTGGCAAGTCTGTTTCTAAAGGTAAGACAAACCAAGCTGTACACAATACTCCAGGTGTGGTCTCACTAAGATGCACTATAGTTGGAATGAGACATCTTTACTTCAATACTGAAATCCTTTTGTAACAAAAGCCAATGTGCCATTGTGGCCTTAATTGTTTGCAGTACATGAATGTTAACATTTTCAGTGACTAATGAGCAAGGACTCACAAAAGTACTTTTTTAGTTTCAAGTTCTTAAGTTTCATTCTTAAAATCTAACCTAGTCTGTAATTAGCAGCAACAGAAAAGTACTGTGTAAATAGACAGTTTATTTCTTTCTTATGACGTTGACAGGGTAAACATATCCCACTGATAAAGCTGAACAGTTAATTAGGTAACTGGTTGAATCTGGTTTACTTCAAGTCCAGATCAGCTGGCTATGAATGGAGTTCTTTAGTGCAGCCAAGGCCGCAGATGCAGTTAAAGAAACTGAGTGCAACCTGTGAGTTTGGTGAGTATGGAGTTCAAGGAGGGGGGAGGTATTTGTTTCATTTGCTTTTTCCGTTCATGGTTAGCACTGCTGCCTTGCAGCCAGGGACCTAGGTTCGATTCCACCCTTGGGTGACTGTCTGTGTGGAGTTTATACGTTCTCCCTGTGTCTGTGTGGGTTTCTTCCACGTGCTCCAATTTCCACTCACAGTTTAAAGATGTGCAGGTTAGGTGAATTAGTCATGTGAAATGCAGGGTTACAGGGATAGGGGAGGGAGTGGAGTGGGTTTGGGGGTCTCCAAACAGTAACCACAATGTGGGAAAAGTAATGAGTTCTTGTGACAGACAGACTGCAATAATCTTGGGTGATTTTAATCTACATGTAAACTGGTAAAATCAGATTGACGGTAGTAGCCTGATGAGTTGTTCATAGAATATTTTTGAGAGAGTTTCTGAGTAGTACGTCTGAAATCACCTAGAGAGCAGGCTATATTAATTAGACTTAATCTTTTCACACGTTAGTATTGCACAATACTAATTAATTTCAGATTAAAGGCACCAATAGGTAACAGTGATACAATATGATTTTGAATTTACATCCAGTTTGAAAATTAGATTGCGTTTAAGAATAGTATTTTAAACCTAAATAAGGGCAACTAGTGGGCATGGAAGTTGACCTTGCTGAAGTGAACTAGCATACTAGCCTAAGGGATAGATCAGTAGAGAGGCAGTGGCAAAAATTTTGATGGGATATTTTAAAGCAAGTATAATAAATAAAGAAATAATAATAAATAAAGAAAAACTTCATTGAAATCATAACGTTCCATTCACATGAGAAGATAGCCAGATATGCCACTCTGAGACATTAAGCCTTTGCATTGGGGTAATAGCACATGAAATGTTCTAGCAAATTAAGGATTAGGTATCCTTTCAAAACGAGATTAAAGACACAGCAGTTTGTCATCTGTGTTGTCTGGTGTTAATTTACTAATCAAATGTCATAAGTAGAATTTAATGATGATTGGATGAATGGAATCTCACATGTTATAGGTGCTTGGTATTTTGAATAATGTAACACCCATATACAGGTAGTGCAAAATTAGAAACAAAAACAGAAGTTACTGGAAAACTCCGCAGGTCTTGTGGCATCTGCAGAGAGAAAGCATAGTTAATGTTGCTAGTCCAGTAATCCTTCAGACTCTCCTTTGTTCATTTAGTGCAAAGTCAATGATTTGTAACTATTCAGGGAGATACACTCTTCCTGTGGGGGGCAAAGTCTGGATCTCCCTTGAGTATGCAGAATAATCACTGGAAAAGCTTCCACATATCTCTGCTTTTTATAGGTTGAGGTAACTTTAAGAGAAAACCTTAGCTACCTGATCGGCATGGACAAGTTGGACCGCAGAGTCTGTTTCCGTGCTGTATGATCTGACTCCCCTTTTCGAGAAAAAGCTAGTTCAAATGTAAGAATGATATCAAGATTTGGTACAGGTGTTATAAGAAGTGTAAAGTAAGTCTTGGTCCTCTGGGGAGTTAATAGATGACATAGAAAATGCAGATTCAAACAAAACACATTTTGCATCTGTGATCACTATAGAGGATACAGCAAACATTCCTGTAATAGCTATAAATCAGATGATAGGAGGGAGAGGGGAAGTTAGTGAAATTACATTCACCAGAACAATTTTCTACCTTCTGCAGGAAGAATCCACAGCTTTACTGTTTCTCTTTCTGCGCCTCCAAGGTTGACTGTCACATCAGGACCATAAATCAGGTTATTAACAGTCTCCAATGATGTTAATTACCATGCCTTATGTGCTATGGTTGGAATAATTAGTACTAACTTTGTAAACCCAGCAATTTTACGATTGTCATTAATGTCAATAGGGAGGTTCACAGGGAGTTGGGATTCCATCAGCTTAAGCGAGACCAGCAGAGCAACACAAATTATCAAGCAATCTGCAGAGAATCAAAATTCGTGGTGTACCTCCTGTACTCTGCAAATTGCTGTGTTTTTTGTGCATTAATAATGAGGCTCTGTCCATGTTTCTTTATAATCCCAGCAATTTCTGGTCCATTCTGAGGTTAACTAAGTCAAAATGTTTTGCATTCTTCATCAATGTTGGCCATTTATAAGCATCTTCTAGTATAATGGTGATCTGTGCTCACATGTCAAGTGTATAAACTGATCCTGCCACTGTGTTGCATGTAGAGGATATAGGTTTGTGACAAATAACAAATGAAGCATCATTAATCATTCTTGAATGGTGAGATGCTTATTCAGTTCTGCCAAAAATAAATACATAATTCAAGTAAATTTGTGGTAACTACAAGATGAGTGCACTGTTTGTGCCTGGATGTGCACTGACAGGAGTTGCACATTGCTTTTCTGGTTATTTAATGGTTATTTTTATTTATAAAAATGTTGATTCCAACCCTTTCTGCTGCTGTAAATTAACCTTGCCAGTTTCACAGCTTTTCAGCCATAACCCTTACAGTGTGTGTTGAGCACAATGTACTGCAGCATTTCACTAGGGGTCAAGTAGCTTTGTTCAAATCGGCAATAACCCTGCTTTAAAAGGTAGAGGAAGACACAAATACATATTTAAACAATATGGATATCTTCAATTTTTTGAATAATCTGTATTTTTAAAAATCCCTGTTTCTTTAATCTAGGACCTTACTAAATGTGTGGATTTGAATGCACACCCCCAGAACTTTAGCCTGAGGTTGCAGGATTACTAACCTACTGCACCACCACTGCCTTGGCTAATAAAATAATATCAGCGGATGTATGTAATGGGTTTAAGAAGGCAGGCATCTATGAGCATGTGCTCCAAGATTTCTTTGCTCCTTACACTTCTCAGTATCTGAAGAAGGGTTCTGACCCAAAACGTCAACTTTCCTGCTCCTCTGATGCTGCCTGGCCTGCTGTGTTCCTCCAGCTTCATTCTGTGTCATCTCAGTATCTCACTATTGCATTTCCCTTTTCCTTGCGGGGTCAGTTAGCTCAGTTGGATAGATGATTAGAACGTGGTGCAGAATAAAGCCAACAGCACTAATTCAGTCTCGTTACCAGCTGTGGTGATTTATGGAGACAAAACAAAAAGTACAGGAAAACTCTGCAGGTCTGGCAGCCTCTGTGGAGAAAGAAGCAGAGTTAATGTTTTGAGTCCAGTTTGACTCTTCTTTAGAATGATTGATTTGAATTCCATCCATGACCTTTTGGTCACCTGACCATTGATATCTTCTGTCAATCTACAACTTTTTGCCCTCATGATCAACCACACAGCCAAATTTTTGTAATTATGCAGGCTCATAGGCCCTCTACTCAGGCCAAAGTCTTTGATATGTACAAACCCTCTAATCCCACAACCTTGGGACCAAGGTCATGCTAGTTTCTAGATGTTACTGGATTTCAGGCAAGATGGCCAGACTCTGCGTTGTTTGGGTTGAGCCTGATTGGATGGGGTCAAGTGTTGCTTGAAGCAGAGGTTATAGCAAGTTGTGAAGCAAATATTTAGTCAGGCACTACATTGCCCTAGTGCAGCTCCTAGCTGAATCGTTGAGTAATATTTTTGAAATGCTACTCAACTAAAATTGATACAAAAAGGTGTCCAACTTTCAGAACTCCAGCTTGTGAATAGCTGGATTTGAGACACTTCCTTGATCTTTAAAAATCAAGGGACCAAGTACAAGTCTGTGTAACCCCACTGGTAACAGCCTATCAATCATGAAAAGAAAACATCAGTCAATTGTTGCCCTTTGCTTTCTGTCATTAAAGCAATTTTGAATTAAATTTGCCACTTTCCCTTAGATTTCATAGACTTTTACTTTGTGGTTCATTCAGCTCTGTAATCTAGTCAAAGGCCTTGTTTAAAATCAATGTAAGCTACATCAGATGCTGCCCACATGACCTTCCTTGTTACCTCAAAAGTGCAATCTGGTCAGCGATGGTCCTGATTAAGTCTATGCTGACTATCCTTGATTAATCCATGACTTTCTGTAGTTCATATAGTCTCTACAATTCATACAGTTTTCAATAATTTTACTCTTCATGGAGTTTAGGCTGACTGATGTGTAATTACTTAGTCTATCCTTTTTTTCAAAGAATGGCTGCATTTTTAAATGGTGTAAGTTAACCAGATGGCTGGTACACCAGGGGCCAAAATATAGAAGTTTAATTGCACCAACTTGTAAGTAATTACATAAGCTGCCTTTTGCCCAGGGCATGCCAACATGTAAAGTTTACTTTTGGATTGTGGAAAGAGACTAATGAACCCAATTAAACTTGAAGCTATTATAGCAATCATTAATTCTGTATGTGTCTACTGTGGTGGTTTTGAAACTTGTCACATAACCAAGAACCCTTCATTGATTGGGACTGACAAAAATTTATCAGAGCTTTGCATTTTTATTTTGATACTTGAGGCATCCATTCATTGGATGGCTATAAAGTTCTCTCTCATATGATTTGTTTTCTAGCAAGTATTACTAAAATTGGATTTTTATGCTCAACACGTTGTCATTGTCTGAACTTTGTCCTTTATTGAGGATCAAATCTATTTCCCTTCTTGCAGCTGCCTTGCAAAATTGATTTTCTGAATCAATGATCACCATAAGATGTAAGAGCAGAATTAAACCATTTGGCCTGTTGAGTCTGTTCTGCCATTTGATCATGGCTAATGTGTTTCTTAACTCTATTCTCCCGCCTTCTACCTGTAACCCTTAATCCCCTTACTAATCAAGAAGCTATCTATCTCTGTCTTAATTTCACTCAATAACCTGGCCTCCACAGCCCTCTGTGGCAAGGTATTGACACCATCAATCCAGGTGTCAGATGTACTTGACCAGCAAAAAAGTACAGCAGATCACATAAATTAAAATAACCTAAAACTAAATTCCATTCAAGTAGGATCTAAAATGTCCTGAATAACTACCAGACACATTTTGCAGCTGTTGGCTACTTGTGCTCCAGTTTACTGAAAATCTGGCTAATGAATACTATGATTGCTTGTTTGA